TAAACCCTAAACCCCAAACCCATGAAGCCCAACTCGGCGCCAGGGCGAGGAAGCTCCGACGCCGCCGCGCGTCGCGCGCCGGGATGGCCGTGAAAGCCGCGAGCCGTGGAAGGGCCAGGAGGCGCCGCGAGGGCTGACGCTCTTTCTAAAGGCCTTGGGGTTTAGGGTTTAGGGCTAGGTTTGGGGTTTAGGGTTTAAGGTTTCGGGAGGGTCGAGGATTTAAGGTTTCAGGGTTTAAGGTTTAGGACGTCGCAGAGATGGTTATGTTGTTTCAGCTACTGGAACTGAGTAGAGTGTTTTGGAGTTCAGGATTTGGGATTAAGGCTCGGCGGTTTTATGGCCTTAGGCTATGGTTGTGGTGGTGCATTTCATATCTGAAAGAACCTCTGATTTCGGTCCTTTGATGCCTAAAGGAAGGGCATCGGGGTTATCTGGGACGCAGGATCTGATACACTTGATGACTCTGCTTAAGACGGATAGAACCCCGTCTTGACCAGGCTCAACACGGCTTTGAGGGGAATTGAGCTTCCGGAGCAAAATTCGTCCTTGCGAATTTCCCGTTAGACTGTTAGCTGGATGCCTTGGCCGTAGGAATCTAATAATATGAGACCTAGCCTACATGGGTAGTTCTCTGAATTAGGTTCCTTTTAGGGTCCTTTTTTTATAAGGGTGCCGTACTATACTAAGGACCTAATAACGGGATCCGAATTTAGAGAATTACCCACATGATGACTCCAGGCTCGAGATTGTCTGTTGGCTTCTGGGGTGATTGGTTCGATCGTGAGGTTGCGCAATGGCCGAGTTTGCAGAGATACTGTACCACAAACCACAAAATCAAGACTCTTTTCCTGCTTCTTGTTCCGAAGCTTTAGACGATCCTGCAATGGAGGAAGCGGCGCCCGTCACACCCCCGCCAAAGAGAGCTGCCTTGAAGGCCCTTGCCGTTAAGGGCCGTCCTCTCGAGCACATGCGCTGGGTACCAGTAGGGTTTAGGGCTTAGGGATTAGGGAGTTTCCGAAAATAAGGGGTACCTTATTTTGGGGTCCTTATAATAAGGATCCTATTATTTAGGGTACCATATTAGGGTCCCCTATTTTCGGAAACCCCCATTAGGGTTTAGGGAGCATGCATTCCTTTCAGTCCGTTTTGGGTCACGAGCAGTCAAAAACTGCCTGTCGCTGCACAAGGGTTCGGGGAAGTTCGTGCTGCAGTTCCTGAGAACAGCCCGCTTTCTACCAAGGCAAACGAAGGAAACAGGTTGCTCCGTCTTGGGCTCTAGATAGGTTCCCCAGTGGTACCCTTTTGCCCTTTTTCTTTTTGGGCTCCCTTATTAAAACCAAATAGTAGGAAAAAGGGTACCCTTATTATTAAGGGGCTACTGGGGAACCTAGTAGAAGTATGTTACTTCCAGTGACATAGCTACGTGCATGTTCCATGTGGCTGGCGGCCTGAACGTAGCAAGGTTGTTTCCAGCTGCGCGTTTCTCAAGCACACGGCGAAGCGAGGAAGTCCCAGGGTTTCTGACTTATAGCAATCTGTCACATGATCCTTCTGCCCCCTCCCAGATCTAGATCAGGGGGTGTACGACAACATGCACCCTTACAATGCTGCACAGGCAAGCCGGTTGGACCCTAAGAATGCCGTGACAGCACACAATCAGCCGTATACTATAGGGGCCTGAAGAATAATAACTAGTCATGTTACATCCTTCCTTAGGGTTCCGAAAAAGTGTTATGGTACAGTAGCTCCGCAAAACCCTAGTCTGATTGAATGTGACCCTCTATTATTACAAAAGAGCTCTACAGAATTGTCTGCTGCCTTACCTGAAGCTTCGGGCTTTCGGTTTAGGGCCACAGCCCACCGCAAAAGAAGACCCGCCGAAATTGGAGACCAGTGACCATTCGGGGTTCAGGGTCCTAAACCTGCCGCTTCAGAAGCCGTGAGCCTAGCAAACCCAGACACTAACCCCTACCCAGACCTTAGCCCTAAGCATCCTTACCCCAAAACCCCTTAACTTGCGTAAACCCTGAGCATCCCTGAAACCCTCCCGAACCCCCGTCATCTGCGGCCATGTGGCCGAAGCTTCGTCCTGCAGCTGCGACTCTAAGGGAGACTGGGGCACAGTTTAGGGTTGACGGTTTGGGGTTAAGGGTTTAGTGTAGGCATAGCGGGACTCTCGCTTTGGCCTTGAAATGTACGGGCGGAGTTTGCGATTTACAAGCTTAGGGCTTCGTCTTTGACCCGAAGCCCTTGAGGGGTCCAGGTCCCGGTCTAGGGTTTAGGGTCTAGGCTTAGCCTGAGGTAAAAAGGGTTTAGGTTTAGGGTTTAGGGTTGGGAGTGGAATTTGGAGAGTTCCGAGGGGACTCTTGGGAGGGTTTCGCAGAACTTCCAGGGTTTGACAGTTACTTGGTTTAGGGTTTCAAGGCATTACCCTAAAGCCTAAACCATACAAGAGTCCTTCAACTTCTCCCTAGAGCTGGAACTCTGAAGCTTTGGCTCATTTTGTTTTGCAAGAGTCAGATTACACAAGGTCGACCCGGGGGATGCTACCATTACAAAATAATTCGAATGCTTGTTATTATTGTTAGTACTAATACTGTTGTGTTTATCAGTAGTTGTTGTTATCATGATTATGATGACTTTCGTTTTGGCTGTTCTTCCTTTTACAATAGTTCAACACTTTTTGCTACAAACACGGCTATGACTGCCACCAGTCTTGTTGCTATTGCGATTACAAGTACTATTACTATGATTACCCGCATCCCTTCACTCTTTTCCTAAACCCTAAACCCTAACTATTTAGAATCGATGCCAAGGCCCGCCAATGGGAGCTGCTCGGGACGAGACTTCGGCCTGGAAGCGTGCGCAGGAGGCGAGGGACTTACTTGGAGGATCGTGGGACTTCGTAGGTAAGGTTTCAAGTCTCTTAATTGGTTATAAGTAACCATTTACACACACACACATATATATATATATCTCTATATCTATATATATATATATATATAGAGCTGATCTGACCGCGGCCAAGAAACCGGCCTTTGTCTTTGCGCGACGCGGCCATGCATCGAACTCCAGAAGCTGCCTAGAAAACCTTTTCGAAGACACACTCAAGCTCCTTTTCCAAAAACCGCCTCTCTGGCCTGCGAAAACCTTCTGAGCTTTTAAAGATCCATCAAAAACCTCGCTTTCTGGCTCTTGGGCTTTCGTTGGCGGCGTCGCCGCTCTGAAGTCAGAAGGTGGCTCTGCTCGGCAGCTGCGCCGGTGAAGATCTCCAAGGAACGGAGTTGACGGTTCTATAGAATGATTGTAGGGACCCAAAAAGCACATAAGCATAAGCCTTTTATAGGGATATCCCTACCTTATTGGGCTTCATTATAAGGGGATTTATATGGGATATCCGGATCCTAATTTTTGCTTATGTGCCTTTTTGGGGCCCTAATGATTGTAGGGGTACTACTGTCTACAAGGAAAACAAGCTTGGGGTTTCAGGTTTGGGTTTTTTTCGTGATCAGGGTTTACGGCGATCGGTTGGTAATTGGTGCGTGCGTGTTCAGTAGCTAGCAACCCTATTGTAAACCCCCAAAACCTTAGCCTTAAAACGCGCACCGTCAAATCCCAAATCCTTTTGCTCCTGTTTCACAAGCCACATGTGTATCTGTTCGCCGCTTATCTTTGAAAGGAGCGCCTTCATGAGTTTCTGCAAGCGGAGGCTCGCGCCCAAGAGCAGCAAGTCGTCTCCAAATACAAGAACAAAATTTAATCAACATTACGGATAAAGGGCCTTATGTAGGAGTGAAGGATTCTCAATGAGGATCAAGGAGTCTCCACAATGATCGTCGAGTGGGGATTGGATTTTCTGGAACTTTTGACCGTACGGAACTCATATGCAAGACGTTCGGGCGGTTCGGGCGATGGCACAGGTCCTGATGCAGAAAGGTGCGAAGCGTGTTAGGTGTTCATGACCTGGGACGTATACCCACTGCGACCACTACTGCCACTGCTCCCATACGACTACTACTATTACTAAGACGACGACGACGACTACTGCTACTACTACTACTACTACTATGGCTACTACTACTATGGCTACTACTACCATGGCTACTACTACTATTGCTACTACTACTACTACTACTACTACTACTACTCCAGCTGCTGCTGCTGCTACTGCTGCTACTGCTACAGCTACTGCTACTACTAATGCTGCTGCTGCTGCTACTACTACTACTACTACTACTCCTACTGCTGCTGCTGCTGCTGCTATTACGACGGCGACGATTTCTGCTACCACCGTGGCTGCTACCAGTACCGTCTTCTGTGTGGAGTGCTTCTTGGGTCGGTTGCGGAGCTAAGTTTCAGACATGGTAGAGGAATGAAGGATTGACGTTCAGGACAAGCAAGTGCGGTTGCAGACGGAGCTGTGCAGGCTAGGCAGTAGCAGAACTGAGAAGTTTCAGCAGTTTTATTGTTTTTCCCTTGCAGACATTCGCAGTTCTTTGCTGTGTGGTCGGGCCCGAGGGCCTGACAGCGCTGAAATGTCCAAGGGATGAAAACTCAAAGACCCCAAGCCCTGTTAAACCAGAAGCCCTACATGTCCATTGACATTGAGATGCAACTGATTCAACCATGTCTGAATCGCAGATGCCCAGTGTACATGAGGAGTGCCGCCGGGCATTTCTCGCAAGGAGGTTTATTTTGAGCAGCCGTACACTTGCAGGGGAAACGCAGGAAGGGCGGGCACAGTGCGGCACAGTGAAACCTCCGAGCATTCAAAGACCCCATGAAAGACTCAGATTTGACACCTCCCCCTCAATGTTCCAGCCTCGAACCCTCAATCCTGCCAGCCCCAAGCCTTCAAACATCGATCTTTCAGGTGGGTGGTTGTCTCAAAATTATGGCCCATTTTTGGGTACTTATTATGATACGGCACCTATTATTTAGGGTACCCCAATAGGGCCCCAAACCCTAAACCCTAAACCCTAAACCCTAAAACCCCAGGTGGTCTTCTTTGCCGGGTTGGAGCCGAAATCCATCACTCTCCGGCAGAGCCCAGCATGATTTGGGGTTTACTTGTTGGGGCCTTCATAGTTACAATGTTTAGGGTTTAGAGTTTAGGGTTTAGGGTTTAGGGTAGTTAGAACAGGGTTTTGGGGGTTCCCTGATATAATTATGGTATACTATACCCCCCAAAGACTATTCGAGTTATTTAGGCCCCTATATTATTTATTATTTGTTGGTCTGAATTGGTGAGCACGGACCCTGTATTGTTATAGTATACTCTACTGCACATCCGGATTCTATTTCTTAAGGCCCTAATTACTTTAGGCTTCGGGAGATCATGGTTTGCCGTTCAGGGAGTGAGGCTTGTTTGAAGTTTCGAACAGCAAATGAGTAAAACGCCATGACAATCCAGTCTAGGAGTCTAGCTTCTACAGTGTCGCGTGACAGCTACCCTTGTGGCCTAGAAGCTTGAAGAGTCTGCTTGCCACCAGTCCCAAGAGAAGTCGGCTCTCGCATGATGCTGTGGTTTCAGACAAACCCCATATCCCGTGCACCGAAGGCGCACTTTCCAAACCCAAGCCCAGTGGGGACCCTAAACCCTAAACCCTAATGCCCAAGCTCCGGAGCCTCATGCCTCCACCGCCCTTCAGCCCTAAGTCCCAGGCCTACCCCGCCAATCTAAGGATCCTCGACGCGAAGACTCCGAAGCAAGCAGCGAAGCTTGCATACCGAGCACCTCGGTTTGAACTGCCCAAAGACCAACTTCACATGATGTTGCTGGAGCAGCATGAGGCGATTCGCCTGCTTGATTTAAACGCACATTCCATCGTCGGTTCCGCTTTTTCCATTCATAAATGTTGCTGCTGGTGGCTAAAAGTGACTAGTGCTGCTGTTGACATTGTAGTTCATGTGCATCTTCGTCTTGACATATCA